AAACGAACATGTCAATAGTGATTATTTGTATTCATATCATGTAATGTACTCTATAAAATGTACATCAAGCTAAGGCCTTCTCCCAAGGAAGGGCCTCATTTGTAATCGACTGCAATACTAGTGGATTCATTCAAACTGGGCTAGACCCCGTGGTTTTTCCCCCTTTCAGGGGTTTTCCACGTAAAAATCTTGGTATCTCATAAATGTTAGACCCTCTCTCTTATCTAATTGCGTGCCAGGTTTTCGTACAACGCTAAGACGACAAACTTTATATTTCTCTACCACCGCGAATACTCCTGGACGCAACAATAAGAATGTATTTAATTTTTGGGACAATTACATACATAGCATTCAAATATTAACTATTTATAAAATTATCACCCTCTTATTTTATATTATTTTAAATTATAATCTAAAAATTTAATTTCATAAATTTTCAATAATTTTATTGTGACGGGGGCTCTAAATGAGTTGAGCCAAGTTCTTGCTTAATCGGGCAAGTTTGTCTAAGAGTTTGAACTCGAACTCAAGTGAAAATATGAGACTAGAGCTCGACTTGAATGCCCAAACTTGATAAGAAAGCTCTAGATTTACTTTTTTTCTTAGCTTAATTTCTTATTTTGAATTTAGACAAAAAAAAAAAAAAAAAGATTAATATAAATGAGAACGTGTTAGTTATTAATTATTATCATTCGAGCTAGCTCGAAAAGCAGACGAGCCACCAAGTCGCCCGCTCCGGCGACGCAGCCGCAGTGGAATTACCGCAGCTTCTTCCATCGTATCCTGGCAGATCTTTCATCTATTCCTTATTACGACGAACGCCAAAACCCATGAGCGGGGCGGCGGCGGTATCATCTTTACCGGCCAAGGCCGTCCTCGGCACCGCCGGAAGCCACAGAGCTCGGCTGAAGGTCGCTGTCAAAGAATGGGGCAGATCCGATGTTCTCAAGCTTAGCTACGCGCTCGATCTCTTCCAGAACTTGCTCGATACTGATCCAAAGCCGCCCATCTATTCATTCAACACAATCCTTATCAGCATCTCCCGGATGAAGCAATTCCCCGCTGCAATCTCCCTTTTTAACTCCATGAACCGCGCTGGCGGCATTTGCCCAAACTCCCACACATTCGGCATTCTCGTCGATTGTTGCTGCAGGATGCGAAGCGTCGATCTCGGGTTCGGCATATTTGCCGCCATGTTGAAACGCGGCTGCGGCCCCAATACTGTGGTCTTTACATCCTTGATAAGGGGCCTCTGCTACGAACACCGGATCAATGATGCCGTCGCGCTGTTCGACGAAATGCCCCTTATGGGATGTCCACCCAACGTCGTCACTTTCACGACCATAATCAAGGGAATTTCAAGTAGCGGCAGCGGCAAGTCTGCCATTGTCCTGGACCTGCTCCGCAGGATGTCGGAGATAGGCGGCGCTTGCAAGCCTGATGTGGTGGCGTACACTGCTGTCATTGACGCGCTTTGTAAGGACGGTGACTTGGAAAAGGCTTCTGAGCGTTTTCAAGAGATGGAAGCGTTGGGGATTCATCCTAATGTCTTCACTTACAGCGCGATCATTGATGCTTACTGTAAAGGCGGCTCTTTGAAGAAGGCGGTGAGTCTGTTTGAGGAAATGGTTGTGAAAGGCGTTTCCCCGAATATTGTTACCTGTAATACTGTCATCGATGCACTCTGCAGACATGGAGCGGTGGAAAAAGCCGCAGAACTTTTTGACCTGATGAAGCTCGCTGGGTTCCCCCCGGATGTTGTCACCTTTAACAGTATCGTTTATGCCCTCTGCAAAGAAGAATTGGCTGTTGAAGCTCATAAGTTTCTGGATTTCATGTCTGATAATGGTGTGGAGCCGGATGCCGTGACATACACAGCTTTAATGGATGGATACGCCAGGATAGGAAAAACGGACGATGCCCTGAATGTTTTTGATCTAATGGTTTCTAAAGGGAAAAAACCGGATGCCGTTACTTACTGCATATTGATCAATTTATATTTGAGGACAGAAAAGACAGATTTAGCTTTAAAGATATTTGATGATTTGCCCAAGAAGGGATTTGAACACACTGCCACTATATGTAACGTTGTATTGACTGAACTGTATCGTGTGGGACGAGTAGCTGATGCTAAAAGAACACATGAGAAGATGGTGGCTGCTGGTGTTACTCCAGATATTGAAACCTACCATGCAATTATTCGAGGACTTTGTAAAAACCATTGCGTTGATGAGGCAATGGATATATTTCAAGTCATGCAATCCCAAAATTTCAAAGCTGAAGTCAAGACCTTCAACTTCATGATGGATGGGCTGTACAAAGCTGGTAAGTATAAGTTGGTTAGGGATCTCTTTGATGGACTTCCTGCCAAAGGTTTGTCACCTGATGCTTTCTCCTATACTGTATTGATGAATTCTCTTATAAGTGATGGTTTGCTGCATGAGTTTGAGGAGTTGTATCAATCAATGGAGAGATCTAAATGTATTTTAGATTCAACTATGCTCAATACTATTGTTCAGAGCTTACTCAAGAAGGGAGATATCAGGAAATCCATTGATTTTCTTAATAGAATGGAAAAGCAGAAATTTTCTCTTGAAGAGCCCACGGTTTCACTATTAAATTCTTTGCTCAAGGAGAACGAAAATTTTCAAGAACATCTGAAGTCACTAGCTGATTTTCCACGGAAAAATGCTAATTTTAGGGATGAGGTTTGTATCAATTCATTGATCGAATGTTTCAAGACGTATTTGCTACAAGATGAAGCCTCAAGAGAGTGATGGTACAGTTGTCTTTGCTTGATATGTCAAATGGTTAGCAAATTGACAACTCCATGTTACATGCAACCTTTGTGAGGATAAGGCTCTCAGCACACTATTATCAATAGAAAGTTATGCAGTCCATCGGTAAATTTATAAGCAATACAATTATTTTCTCCTATTTATTCTGATTTTTGTTATTAGATACACATTATTGCATCCCTGTGCTGCCTTCGAGTTCCAGTCTAACATCTAGAAGTATGGATTAAATTTTTAATTGTTCCATGCCTGTCCAGCAATTAGAAATACACATTTTGTATACTTGTGTAGTTTCTATATTTTCTTAAAAATGTACTAGCATATTCTTTTGATTTTTGTTTTTTCGAGGCATTGAAAGGAATAATATTATGATACTTGAGCTCTATTCTGAGAAGCAAACTTTACTGAATTTAGCAACCGAAGGCTTGCATTTTACCATTGCCACAGGCTCCGGAGTTATTGATCCAAATTTTATAAGTTGATAGGTTTGCCATGGAAGTTGAGGTTTCACTGAATGCTTATGTATTTGTACTATTTTACCATCATATTATTGAAGTATTTATGCGCAAAATATGTTAAATTTTTTATGGTCATTGCTAAATAAGCTCTAATATCTACACCATTATGAGTGCTGTTTTTGAGTGAACTTAAGATGTTATTGTTTATTGCAAATCATAATAAATGTCGAGCAACTTTTTCTAGTTCTTCGTGCATTTTTTAGATTTACAAATTGGGTATGTGTTTGAATAGCTCAACTCTAAACCTTATTGAATTATTGAACTAATGGATTATTAGGCCGGTTCTCACTGAACTGGCCCGGGGGGGCTTTGCTGATTTTCCTATTGAATTTGGTGAACGATTTGCTGTTTTCATCTCTCTTGTTAGGGTTTACTTGAAATCTTCTAGTATTTTCTAACAAATTGGTATCAAAACGAATATTGGGACTATTGGTGGGCTATTTTTGTGAATTTCAGTGGCTTTTTTTGGGCCGGTGAAGGACAAATTGCTGTTTTTAGGGTGAAATTCAGATTTTTAATTTGGGGATTAATGGCGGCTAAGAATGTGGCTGCGTTGGAGGAGAGACTTGAAGAGGAGATGAGCTAACTAAAAGCAACGGTGGAAGATAAAATTTCATCTGTAGAAGACAAGGTTTCATTCGTGGAAGATAATGTTTCCGATCTTTATGAGATGACGAAGAAGTTATTGGAAAATCAAATTCAAACGGCGGCATCGGAGGTAAAAGGACCCGTGGGGAGAACAAAAAATTCTGAATTTCGTATGAGGGACAATGAGGTGGAAATTAGTGAGGTGAGTGGTAGAAGGTTTGGAGAGAGGCGTGGTTGTGGGGGGTATGAACTAAGGGGTGCTGGTTGGGAGAGAATAGAAGGGGAATATGGTAGGAAGGATGTTGATTTTGAAGAAAAGAGGGGAGAAAGTGAACAGAGGGTTTAGTATGAGTGTAGGAGGGAAGATCGGGAAACTTGGGGGGAGCCAAGTAGTTGGGAAAGGAGAAATTATGGAGGAATTGAGGGAAACGGGGGAGATCCGAAGATAGGGAAGTTGAAGATGCCCATCTTTGAAGAGGATGATGCATACAGGTGGATCTATAAGGTGGAGAGGTATTTCACCATCAATGGGCTGATGAAGGAGGAAAAATTAACAGTAGTAGGTTTATGTTTGGAGGGGAAGGCGTTGTCCTGGTATAAGTGGAGGGATTAGAGGAGACCCATATGGAGTTTGAAGGAATTCAAGAAATGCTTATTGGAACGTTTTAGAACTTGCAGGGGAGCAGTTCTTTGCACTAGTACATGACTGATTAATGGCAGACTACCATGAGAGATTTGAGTACTTGGCCAGCGGGTGGAGCGACTATCAGAGACTGTGTTGGAAGGAAGCTTCATTAAGGGACTCAAATCCGAGATCAAAGCTGCGGTGAGGGTCATGAGGTTTCGTGACTTGGGAGAGGTCACGGAGTTGACACAATTGGTGGAATATCAGAGGCATCTAGAGGGGGGAGTCAGGAGCAGCAGTTCAGGTGGCTTTTTACAGGATAACTACCACTCTTCTAGCACCCAAGGGTCCTGCAGCAGGTGATTTTTGTGAGACTACCAGGGAAAAGCTAGTAGGAGGGAGTGGGGGAATTTAAAAAGACTGATGGAGAGGGAGATACAAGAGAAGAGGGTGAAGGGATTATGCTTAAGGTGTGATGAGAAGTATACTCCAGGGCATAGGTGTAAGGACCGAACTCTTCAGGTTTTTACCGTCTGTGGTGACGAAGAAATTGAGGAGGGAGTTGAGGGAGAGGTAGAGGGAGGACAAACTGCACCTGGATGTGGCGGAGGTATCCCTAAACTCAGCTGTGGAATTTACACCTAATCATACCATGAAAGTGAGAGGGAAAATAGCAGACATGGAGGTGGTACTGTTGATTGACAGTGAGGGTACCCCCAATTTCATCTCCAACCAGGTTGTGAATCAATTAGGGGTGAAATTGGTGGATACAGGATGTTATGGAGTAATGATGGGTATAGGGAAGGTAAAGATGGGTCAGAGGATCTATAGAGGGATAGTGTTGACTATACAGTGGGTTCAAGCGAGGGAGGATCTCCTCCCATTGGAGCTAGGGAGCACTGGTGTCATCCTG